CCAACCCTTTTATCATTCTAGTTGCCCTTTTCTGCACTTTTTCCAGTGCTATAATATCCTTTTTGAGGTGTGGTGACCAGAACTGTACACAGTACTCCAAATGAGGTTGCATCATCGATTTATACAGGGGCATTAGGATACTGGCTGATTTGTTTTCAATTCCCTTCCTGATAATCCCCAGCATAGTGTTGGCCTTTTTAATTGTAGTTACATGCTGTCTCAACATTTTCAGTGAGTTATCTACTATGACTCCAAGATCTCTCGCTTGGTCAGTCTCTGCCAGTTCAGACCCCACCAACGTGTATTTGTACTGTGTTTCCCCGAAAATAAGACACTGTCTTATATTTATTTTTTCTCAAGAAGACACACTAGGGATTATACCACAAATGCATAGAAATCCTGCTAGGGCTTATTTTTGGGGTAGGTCTTATTTTTGGGGAAACAGGGTAGTTAGGATTTCTGGCCCCTAATGTGCATCACTTTGCACTTGGCCACATTGAACCCCATTTGCCATGTTGTTGCCCACTCACCCATCCTCAACAGATTCCTTTGGAGTGCCCCACAATCCTTCCTGGTTCTCACCACCCTGAACAATTTCTTGTCATCCGCAAATTTAGTCACTTCACTGCTTACTCCCAACTTTAAATCATTAATGAACAGAACACACAAAGGCTTACCTGAAACATTCACTGACTGAATGTTCTATTTCCTTTTTAAAAAACACCCTGAATGTTATTGGTGTGAACTTTCTCAGCAGAGAAGTCCACTTTCAACTTCTTCTGCTCAAAGTGCAACAATACCATTACTTAGTCGAACAGGCTGGGAAATTTCAGTAGCTCTCACAGAGGCAAAAGAGGCAGTCTGTAGCAGCACCATAGCAACAGGAAGGCTGAAATGGTCAGCTCTGCCTCTCACTCAGTCATTCTTTGTCCTTCCTGCCAGATTGTCTTAAAAACAGCAGCCTACCAGTTGGACTGATGGACTGAAAATGTCAACCCACTGGGCCAGGGTGGCTCCCATAATTCCACACCATATCCTGAGAAAAAGACATAATTCACTCAAATAGGTCTGTCTTTTTTTGCATGAGCTTTGTCTTTGTACCACACTATAAAGTTATAAGGGGGGGGAGAGACAGAGAGAGCAACCTAGGATATTAGGGCTGCCAAATCCCCCCGGGGGGCGGATTTCTCCCTGCTTTGGAGGCCTGATTTCCGCCCCCGCAGAATTGGGCCCCGGGGGAAACCCCACCCCCGCGTGCACGTCACCCGGATGTGACGTCGCACGCTGGGGGCGGGGCCACAGCCATTTGAGGGGAAAACTCTATGTTTTCCCTTCAAATGGCTGTGGCCCCGTCCCCCAGCGTGCCCGGTGTCATGACATCACACGCGCACTAGGAGCTGCCCGGGAGTCCCCCGCCAAGGAGGTGAGTGCCATTTGGCAACCCTATAGGATATTGTCAATAAAGTTGTCACAGGAAAAAAAGGAAATTGGAAAATTCTGTTTTCTTCATTAAAAAGGCCTTGTGCCACTTATTTGGTTTGAGTGTGTGTGTGTGTGTGTTAAACTCTCAGTTCATTCTGAGCACGGCATGACAATATGGGGATGACAATTAATGGGACCGTCTGGAATTTGAACAGTGTATAGATCAAATGTCTTGCATTTACTAAGCTTCTTCTCATTTGGTCAAGAATAGATGTGTCTTGGCTGCCTGCACCTGCAATAATTGTGCCTCATATATCCCCAATCAGACACCTTTAAATGAACAGTCAGAACAGACAATGAGGAAATGGTGGTGTGACATCCACTGTACCCAGCAAAGCTCAGTCTCTTACAGATTTGCCCTTGGCACAAGTCTACCTTGATTAATTTGGACTATACACCCAAACAGAGATCTGGGTTATTAGAGGAACTATACTTAGAAAGGTACAAAGTATACTTTGTCTTCCATCCTAGAGACTACATTAAAACAATCCCTGCATACTTTTACAAACACTACCATAGAATTGTTTGAGACTACTGTAAATAAGCACATTCACTGCTTCACAAGTTCCCAGTTTATGAAAAATTAACACATGGACCTCTTCCATCTATACAGCAATCCACGACTAGAACCTATTATTTTCAATCTAATCTTTACTTTCAGGTTTAGTGTGAGAAACATGGATTTTCTTCAAACAGAAAATAACTTCCCCACAATGGCCCATATCAGATCATGTGTTCATCACTCTTCTCCCTATGTATGGCACAGCACCATGAATATGCCTTCCTCTTAGGTCTGCCAAGCCTCCTGTAGGGGTGAGAGATACCTTGCCTCAAGCTCCTATTACCCACTAATGCTCCAAACTGACAGTGTCACCAGTGTTGCCCTGGAAGTGATGGAAGGTAGCTCTAGGAATCAATGGAAACTCTTTTGTCATGCCAGTGTCACGCCTAACCCAACCATGACCTGTCCCCAACAATGCTCCCTCTAAGCAGTGGAATCTTGTGAGTAAAAATTCTACTTTGTGAGATACTGGCATTAAAGTTGTGAGCGAGGAACTTGGCTCCTGCATAAATTAGTTTGCTCTGGAGCCATCCTTCCCGAGCTAAGGCAAAAATGTGTGAGCTGGAGGCTAAAAAAATGGTGAGCTAGCTCACACTAACTCAGCTTAGAGGGAACACTGGTCCCCAACCCTACGGCAAAGGATGAGATGGTTAGACAGTGTTATCGAGGCAACGAACATGAAATTAAGCAAACTTCGGAGCACGACGGAAGACAGGAGGGCATGGCGTGATGTGGTCCATGGCGTTGTGAAGAGTTGGACTCGACTATGTGACTGAACAACAACACACATTTTTGTCTTAGCTCAGGAAGGATGGCTCCAGAGCAAACTAATTTATGCAGTAGCCAACTTGCTTGATCACAACTTTAATGCCAGTAGCTCACAAAGTAGAATTTTTGCTCACAAGACTCCACAGCTTAGAGGGAGCATTGGCCCTGAGTGGGATTTTGGGGAGTTGCATGCATAGCCAGTATGCTCCATCGTACAGAAACATTTTATAGAATGGCTACTGGGATAAGTTACCAAGAGCCACAATTTGCAGGCGCATTTGAGCTAAACTAATGCCCAGGCTAGCCCAATCTTTTCAGATCTTGGAAGCTAAGCAGGGTCAGCCCTGATCAGTATTTAGCTGGGAGACCACAAAGGAACACCAGGACTGCTACACAGAGGCAGGCAATGGCAGACCACCTTTGAATGTCTCTTGCTTTGAATACCCTAAGTTGGCTGAGGCTGGATGGGGGAGAAAAAGCCATAAAGTGCAGCTTAGTACACAAGATCTCTCAAGAAATTGGACTTACCCCGCTCACATGTTCTCCCCCAGTAGCCGGTACCAGTACAGTCACAAATGAAGCGGTTCCAGCCATCCTTACAGACAGCGTTGTTCTTACAGGGGTAGCTGTCACAGTGCTTGGTGTTCAGCCGTGAGCAGGAAGATTTGACCCCAGCAGCATTCTGCTGCTCTGCCAGCTGCCGGATGTTCTTGCTCCTCCCATCAATGAAGAGGTCTCGGATGCAGCCCACGTAGCCATAGTTCAGCATGGCTGTCCAGAGTTCAGTAGGAAGCACAAGGCCTGCCCGATTTTCAGGCAGACCTCCCAGGTACATGTCCCCTTCTAGATCTAGGATTTCACTTTCTCCACTAGCAGTGAATGGTGTCCGTCTGCTGTTCACTGATATGGTACCTGAAGGAAGAAGAAATCATATCAACCAGTGGTCCCAAATGTAACACAAGTCGTGTTTTTTTGTGGTTTGAATCCTGGTGAAAGGTGAAGGCTTTGTTACAGAACAAGGAGTTCAGAGAAGATAAAACCGTGACAGGGAGAGCTTGTCCTACAGGACTTTACTGCCCTCTACCAAACCTGTCAGACAGTGTATTCACAGAATCATAAAGCTGATAGACTAGAAGACATATGAAGGACATTCAGCCCGGTCCTCTGTGATGATGCAGGAACTTCAAAAGGCTATTTTTACTTCAGTCTGGCAGTCTGGTGCAGGAAGATTTGGGAAGAAGGACAAACTGTATCTCTTCAATCAAGAAAGGCGTGGTGCAGAGCAACCCTGTTGCTGGAGTTTTTTGTCCACTTCATCAGCTCATGCTATGACTGCACCAGTCTATGTTTCATGATGACTTAGACACTGGCACACCTCTGTGTAATTACACAATTATTGGTACAACCACAACACATTGGTGTACAATTGTCCCAAAGATTTTAATCGTTCAAATACTGTTTGAATATTGGTCTGTATCAGAGAAGAATGCATGCTGTAATGATCTGGATTACAGTATGTCACAAAGAACACTAGGGAAAGCTCAGGACCATACCTCAGTGGTACAGCGCATGCTTTACATGCATAAGCCCCCCAGGTTTAACCCTCTAGGTAAAGGACCTCAAGTAGCAGGACGGGGAATGACCTTGAAGACTCACAGTAGAGGGCATGACAACCACTCGAGCAAGGCAGCAATGAGGTTCAACCCAGGGGCTAGGCCAATATTGATTGATTAATTGATTTATTATTGATTGATTTATAATAATTATATCCTGCCTTTCTGCCTGAGCAGAGCTAAAAACACACATATAAAGCAAAAATACAGCAAATTAAAACAAGGCACAAAGGTGGGATCATTGCGGGAGCACCAAACAAAACAAAGTCTTCAGCCCCTGGTGGAAAAGAGTGACACCCTTTCCTCTGCATCCTACCTTAAGATCCCTGACATTAATTATGTACAATATTATATTTTATACTCCCTGCAGAAAGGAGTCTAATTGTAAATAGATCATAAATTTATTCCGTCAGAACATTTCGCAAGACCAGTGATGCGTGAGTACCCTACATGCCCACAGAATCTTCAGAGAAACTGAAAAAGTTTTACAGGGGAATTTTAGGGGTCCAGGATACCTCCAGGGATCAAGCCCAACAAGTGATCACACAGTGAACAATACAATAACAAGGGAAAAAAACTGTTCAAAAAGACGCTAAGAAGAAAAACAGAACAAAGACAAACAAGCAACTCTTAGGTACTGTTCAAACTAGAATGATGATAATATATATATAACATCTACAGATATCCAGCAGGCAAGTACATAATAAACATATTTAGTATTCCAACAGGTAGCATACAATGTCTTCCAACAGGTAAGTATACAAACATAGAACAAGTTTACAGTACAAGTGCAGAGAAGTCTGTAACAGGTAACATACAATGTATTTATAGTCTTCCAACAGGTTAAGTATACTAGACAAAGACTCCAGACTTCAACATTTTGTTTTGTATATTCTTCCTCAGTAGAGGCTGATCAGAGAGTACATCATAAGCATTCATCATGGGTTTCCAAGGTAAGTATCAGCCAAACTGCTTTCCAATCCTTATTGGAAAAAAGATTGATAGGGCAGCCAGTCAGTATACATGAAGGAAAGTCTTCATAGTCTTAAACTGCTGGTATGCATACTGAGGAAGAATACACGAAACAAAGTTTTGAAGTCCGGAGTCTTTGTCTTGTATACTTACCTGTTGGAAGACTATAAATACATTGTATATTACCTGTTACAGACTTGCTCTGCACTTGTACTGTAAACTTGTCCTATATTTGTATACTTACCTGTTGGAAGACATTGTATGCTACTTGTTGGAATACTAAATATGTTTATTATGTACTTGCCTGCTGGATATTTGTAGATGTTAAATATATATTATCGTCATTCCATTTTGAAAAGTACCCTAAGAGTTGCTTGTTTGTCTTTGTTCTGTTTTTCTTCTTAGCATCTTTCCGCACAGTTTTTTTCCTTGTTATTGTTTACTTCCAGGGATCCCAAACCCCATTAGGGTTCTTGGGGGGGGGGGGCTGGAGCCTGGCTAGGGAACTCAGGCCTCCGGTGGGAGCGATACACAGTGAGAATAGTTGCCTTAAACTAAAAGCATTTATTAACTCTAAAACCATACACAAGTAAAACTGAATAGCATATATTCAATATCAATACCCAATAGCATAAAAAAAAACCCATACCTGATACAGTGTACACTTCAGAAAGAACAAGGAATTCCTGGACTGTGGACCAGGACATAATTCAAGCCTAGGTGGCATGTTGGGCTGGCCAAACAATCCCAAGCAAACCCCAAAGCCTTCTTTTTATTCTCTTTTCAGCCAATAAGAATCAAGAGAAGAGTCAATTAAAAATATACCAAACTCACCAAATACCAGCCCATCCAAAGCTGATAAGATGAACCTTTGCTGGTATGACCTTTAGCCCAGATATATTTTATTAACTGTGATGTCAAAAAGACCTAGACAGATAGGTTTAGGCTTTGGAGCCTGGCACTTGGCAGGCTGTGGGATGGGAATTCAGGCAAAGGTACATCGACAGGGCAAGGCTTTAGTATTTACGCCTAGGCTGCCAGCAAAAGAGTGAAGGCTTATGGGACCTCTGAACCAAGAAACCAAAGTCAGTTACAGCTACATAGCATAGAAAAACAGAAAGGCCCAGGCTCATTGAACCCCAAATTCTGCAACAAGTTTTAGTACGTAATGCTAATGAAATCTCTTGCATTTGCATGTCTGTGCATGTGACAGAGGGTATTCATGGATGCCTAGCCACTGATTGCATGCTTGTTGGGCTAGCCCTTTTTTAAGTCCAGTTGTTCTTATGTTGGCAGGATGACCAAAAGTGGTTTTAAAACCCCCGGCTTATGTTATATCCAGTTTCTGAATTAAACAAAATCCTATTATATCCTAGATGACATAGGGTGTTTGCCATACAATGATGTTAAAGCTTCTGTGTTATACTACAGAGGAAAAGAAGGCTCTACTATTGCCAGAGATCTGGACTCCTTACCTGATCTGCCGTCTCTCTGGATATCAACGTGGTACCATTCTCCATCATTTGCTTTCCTCTGAGTGGCCTTCACTTTGACAGTTCCGGAGCCCATGTCAAGGAGAAGGTAGAGGTTCCCATCCAAGAGTTCCACTGCAAAGAAATCCACTTTGGTATTCTTCTGGCTCCTGGAGTCCTTTCTTTCCTGGGGTTTGCCATGAGTGAAGAGTATGAGGCCATTCGGCTCTGTGGTGAGGAAGTCAAAGGAGATGGAACCCATACGCTTAGTGTTCCATTTCGGCAGGCTAATGTAGGCCTCAGGTGTCTCAAAGTTGATGGGGTCCAGTGTGGCCACATTCTCACATGTGAACTTCACATCTCCATAGATTTTCATCTTTGTGTCACCGATCCTTGCCAAGCGAGACAGCTCCAGACGGATGTCATTATTCTTATAAACAACCTGTCAAGGACAAGGGAAAACGCTATACATCAGTCCAGGAAATAATGCAAACTTCAGAAAGGCTCACCTAAAGATGCTCTAAGGACTGGAGGGAAGCCATATGAGACTCCATGCTAGGACAGCACCTCTGAATAACAATTACTGGTATTCCATGCCAGCCTGATATCACACACAAAGGGCAACAGATGTGAAAATATCCTGTGTGAAGTTTTCTAAAGACTCTGTTATTGTTATACAGTGTACCAGATATAATGCACACCTGAAATGATGATGTTTTATTTGCACAGACACTAAATTTATTTCCTGCTCAAACAGAGCCACCGCACACAGCTAACAATTAAAAACAGAGCATTGCCAAAACAAATCATGAGTCCAATTGAAAGCAAAACTAAATAATTAGGGTTGCGCTGGATTCCAGGCCCCTTCTTCTGCCGTGGGAGAACCAGCATTATGCGATGCTCTATGGATTGCAGAAATATGGTAAAAACCACACGAAGCTTGGGGAATTCCTAGAATCGCTGTGCAACATCATGACATCCCTTTTAGTTAAGAACGCCATACAGATGCCAAGGCATCTCACTATGCCAATGTGTACAGTCCCTGCCCTTTGACAGGTTCCCAGGGGTGGACAGCCAAGGGCTTGCAACCCAAACTGAAAACACAGACACAGCAATTACAACAGAAGGCAGGAAGGAGGGGTCCCGGATGGAACGCCGAACAAAGCAAAAAAGTCTTCATTGAGGAGGCCCTCTCTTAGGTTGCCACCTAACCTCAGAAGGAGGAGGCACCAGAGCATGACTGTAGTGGTCAAGTAGGATCATCTGGGAGTTGGCAGTCCTTACGTTATGCTGGTCCCAGACTGTACAGGGCTTTAAATGTCAGCACCAGCACCCTAAATTGTGCCAGGAAACAAAATGGGCGCTAGTGTACATGAGGCAAGACAGGTCCCTATGACCCACTCCAATCAACATCCTGGCTGCAGGATTCTGTACCAACATTAAAATGCAGTAAATGAGACTGGCAGGGGTGGGATTCCATCCTTCCCCCCTCGGCTGGCTCTCTGGGCCCCCCTTTTGCCAGGTTCTGCTCCTTCTTTACCCAACTGCATTGCCACCCCTCTAGAGTGCAAATGGTGGTGGAGGGAGAGGCTGTGGTGCCTTCTACTGGACCTCCACCCATCTGGCTGCATCACCACCCCTCTATGGCTCACACAGAGTAGGGTTGTCAGGGCCTCCCTGGCCACCAGCAGGAGATGGGGAGTAGTGTTGCCAGATCCAGGTTGGGAAACTCCTGGAGATTTGGGAGTGGAGCCTGGGGAGGACAGGGACCTCAGTGAGTTACAATGCCACAGAATCCAACCTCCAAAGCATCAATTTTCTCAAGGGGAACTGATCTCTGTAGTCTGGAGATGAGCTGTAATTCTGGGGGAGCCCCAGGTTCCACCTGGAGGCTGGCATCCCTACGGAGGTGGGAAAGGGGCAGTGGAGCCTACTGGTCTTCCCACCCACCTACCTTACCGGCCTGCATTCCACCATCTGTACCTCATGCAGTTGGGGGCAGCAGTTTCCATTCCCCTCCCCACCCTCCCCACATTTCTGTGGCGGTGGTGTCTGGAAGAAATGGGCCTCCATTGATGAGGAAGGTCAACACAGGTTCATTGCAGACAACATTCCTGTTTGGGGAGGATTTAACCCCTCCCCTTGTTGTTCTATGCTTTTTGGATTTTCTGCAAACTTGGAGGTTCCCACACATTTGTAGTATCCGCAGGTGGGGCCATGTTGAGAATTAGATATATTGATGGAGGAGGAACAGACTTACAATGGACATCTTATTTGTCTGTCTGCCACTATTTCTTCTTGCCCTTCACAGAAAACCATCATAGTCTCTACATCTTTCTTGCTTCCTTCTCTTCTTCCCACCCACCACCCAACCTTCTGTTACCTGTTCCTCGTCTTCAGCTCTCCTTCCTGCTAGCAGCCTCTCCTTAAGAAAACTTTGCTCAGTACTGGTTGCCAGGCCCAGCTGCACGATAGGGAACCCACAAGTACTTGCAGGGGGCACCTAAGTTTCCTCTCCATTTCTAGGGTTGCCAGGTCCCCTCGTTGCGTTCCAGGGGTGGGCAGGAACATTGCACAACATCCCCAATGCAATGACATCACCCAGAAGTGACATCATTGTGTTGGGGACATTACACGGGGGGACACTCTGGTATTTGGGTGAAACGCTATATTTTTTCACCCTCAAACCATAGAGTTTGCCCAAATACCAGAGCATCCCCGCCTGATGCTCCTGACATGATGATGTCACTTCTGGGTGATGTCATCCCATTGGGGACATTGCATGGTGAAGTCCCTGTTTAGGAATGGGGTTTCTCCCACCAGCTTGCTGGTCTGTGGTGGGGAGAAACCCCTGAAATTGGGGAATCCTCCACCTGGACCTGGGGGCCGGCAAGCCTATCCATTTCCCTTCCCACACTATTTCCTATTTGCCTCCTTCCTGCCCCCCCCCCATACATTGGCCTTTTCCCTGGTTCCTTGCTTCTTTCACAACCACCACCTTTTATCTGCCCCTCATTTTTGGCTACAATTATTATTATTATTATTATTATTATTATTATTATTATTATTATTATTATTATTTCTCTCTCTCCCCTGCCTTTCTCCACAAAGGAGAACCAAAGCAGCTTACATCATTATTTCCTCTCTTTTATCCTCACAACAACCTTGTGAGGTATGTTAGGCTGAGAGTGTGTTACTGACCCAAGGTCACCCAGCAAGCTTTCACAGCAGAGTGGGGATTTGAACCTGTGTCCCCTGAATCCTAGTCTGAAACACTGGCTTTCATGGGGTGGCTCCTGTTGAACAGTAGCAAGCAGCCAGGTCTAGGTGAGTCATGCAAACTGCATGGTAGCAAGTTAACTACTGGCTGCTACTGGGCCTGGCCCAGATGACTTCACCTTCAAAGGCCAGAACAGCCCTGGAAAGGACCCCTTCCAAACCCCTGCCTTCTCCTGACACAAATCCAAGACTTGAATATGGCTGTGGTTGCCAGGGCACGTGCTTCGTGAAGCTGCAGGTACTCCTCTTATCATGGGGGGTTTTTTTTACCCCCTCCGATTTCAGATTTTTCTGCAAACCTGGGCCTTTTCTTAGGTCTGTAGAAAGATCTGCCTTGTCTGCCTATGGCCCCAGCCTCTGGATTTAAGTATGTTAAGATGTTGAGAATGCACAAGTGTGGACTCATGAAAAGCTCACAGGAAAATTAAGAACATAAGAAGAGTCCTGCTGGATCAGATCAATGGTCCATCTAGTCCAGATCCTGTCTCTCACAGTGGAAAACCAGTTCCTCCGGAGGGCCAACAAATTCCCTCACTGGTCCCTGCCTCTGATTTCTGACACCCTCAGCCCTTTTTGCCTATCTTTTCCTCTCCTTGTCACCTCCTCCTCCCATTTCCCACAGCCTCCTTCTCCTCCTCCTCAGCTCCCAACACTGTTCCCCATCACCCCCTTGTCCTCCTGCTGTCCCACCTTTCCCCAATCTGATAACTGTCCCCACATCCCTCTGCCTACCCACCCACCCCTTCCTCACCAGTGTGCCAACCACTCTCTCCTTACCATCTGCCTACCACTCCTCGCCATCCTTCCCACCCACCCCACTCCCCATTCTACCCAACCACACTTCTCCTTGCCATTCTGTCCACCCACCCCTTGCCTCACCATTCTGTCCACCCATCCCTCTGCTTGCCTTTCTGCTCACCCGCCTGCTTTTCCTGCCATTCTGTCTTCCCCTCCCTGCCACTCTGCCTGGCCACCCCCCTCGCCATTCTATTCACTGCTCTCCTCAAGGAGGATGCTCTTGTTGCTGCCTCTGTTGGCATTTCTGCTTCATGCAGGCCTTCTGGGGGAGGAGGAGAGAGAGCTGGGATGCTGCCTCTTCTATGCCCAACCCTGCTGATGCTGGGCTCTGGGCCTCTGACACTACCATTGTGGTGAGTGGCATTTTCACCCTCAGAGGATGAGGGAGAAAGAGGGGGGCGATGATGGAGGCAGGTCCAACAGAGGTGCATTGTATGTGCATGCACAAACACTCCTCTATTTTAGGTGATTGCACCCCACTCCATTTTCCCTCAGGCCTCCAATTTTTCTGCAAACCTGGGGGGTTCCCCCAAGTATACAAAAAAAGTCTGTAGTCTGTACATGGCCCTAGTCCACAGAAGTAAGTATCCACAGATGGGACGAAATTTACTGTTAGATATACTGATACATTACAGCTGTGCTCTCCTTAAGGAATGTCATAGTATTATCTAGGCAGAATCCTGTGCACAAAAAGGACAAGCCAGGTTATGCATTGACTCAATTTTCTTAAATGTCTTGGGCATCATTCAGCTGTCCCACACCACAACTTTTTTCGCTTAAGGCATCCCAAGCTCAATAACAAGAAAGGGACCCTCCATACAAAATGTGTATGTAAATGCATGCACTTCTAAATTGCCAACATGCTTGGAGAAAAAGGAAGAGGCATCCTTCACCAATGCTGTATTTGGAATCTGCAAGGGAAGGACAAAAAGCCAGTCTAATGCTCATGGTGGGCTAGTCATCAGTAGTTCAAATGTATCCACAGTTGCAAGAAGGCCACAGCAGTCTGTCCTGCAACAAAGCAGCAGCTTCATCCTTCGCACACCATGAAGGGCAAGACCAGAAAGTTCACCACTCAAAGACCCTGAAATGAAGTCCTGCTCTCCAGCATAATCAGCATGGTAGGGGAATCATATTCTTCCTTCAATGCCACAGAGAAGTCAAGCAGGAGATGCTGACTGACTGACATCCTGAACACGCAGTGAACTTTAGTTCCTACTCTATGGTGCACTGATTTGCCATTTTAATCCAACAATGCTTCCCCCCTTGCACACACACAGATTAGCCTCTGCTCCCACACACATCCTCAAAGGTAAGCTTTCTGAACTGGGAGGGTTAGGGCAGACAAATGGCCATTTCACACAT